CGGTAATGTAATGCGTTAATTGTGGATCTGTAACGCATTGACGTGTCAGCTGAAACGCATTCAACCATGACCTTCATGTCTGTGTTTCATATCATCAATCAAGATAGGCCGTTATATAATGCCACGTGAACGGTAATAAACCTATTCTACATAAAATGAAAATGAGAATTTGAATTGTTATATATTGTTAGATTGATCGTTTATTTTTATTTTCTGTCAAACTCGTATACAGTATGTTTTTTTTTTTCTTTTTCAGTGTAGGGCCTACATCAATGGAATAAAGAAGATTACTATTAATATTACTATTAACAAAACATATTTTTCATTTTTATTATATACAATTGTTAAGTTAATTAGACTTCACGTGGAGTGCCTTGAATACTTTAGAATAAGTCTCGATTATAATTATAAATTATTGAGCTTACACTCCCAATGATACGGTGTATTAAAACCAACAAAATTACATTAAGAAGCACAAACACAATATTTGAAAGAACCTTCCTTTCATTTTTTATCTATTTATTTACCTTATTGTTACTGGGGGACTGCTCATGGATAAAATCTCTGGTCATCCGTCATCTTTAAAAACATTATTCATAAGAAGTTAACTAGATTTGTCTCTGGGCTAAAACATAACATAACTACAGGATCAATACAAATTAAAAAAAATTAAAATTATAAGAGTCAAAAACACATAAGTATAAAAAATACAAAGCAGATACAGTAATAAATACAGTTATTGTAGAATAATAGGCCTATACATACAATAGGCATACACGCAGGATGAAATGTAACGTACTGTACGTAGTGAATGTTGTAGAGGTCAAGGTTGAACGCGTTTCTGGAGACGTGAATGCGTTACAGAACCTCAATGTCACAGCATTACCTTCCGAAGCACGGCGGAAAAACCTGTAAAAAAAAATCATTTTTACCATATTTTGGATAATTACCGTACTAAAAGTTGGTTTCTATTGATTATTAAGTAGTTTTCTACTCTCGTGTGGTAATATTTTTTATCATTTTTGCACCCGTGTGGTCGCGAGTGGTCGCGAGTGGTTCCGTGTGGTATTTAGTAGGACCGGTCACATTCATTGTGCTTTCTTTATTAATAATTATTCTTCCAACTTGCTGTCTGTAGGCCTAGCTAGGCCTGTTTCTGTTGGCCTAGCTAGGCTAGGCAGCTAAAGATTAAAGTTTAGTTTCGAGTAGCCAACCTGGAAATGTAGTTGTATGTATAAATCTGTATTCTTGTTGAACAGTGCATGTAAGGTTATGGTGGCCTGTACACAGTCAATGTCAACGTGTTAATATTTTATTCAAAAACTCCAAAAACTATCTTGGACTGTAAAATAAGGCCTATACGGGGAATATCATCAAAAATTAGGCCTAGACGTCCGTCCATGCATTTCGGAAAATAATTGCCAATTTCTGCACAGATTTTGCCTAAATTTAGGCCTTGACCTATCACTTAATAATAAACTATATTACTGTATGGTACTGTATCGTCTGTGCACTTAAAATACCAATATGAAAACCATCCCAAACTGGTTATCTTGTGGCCAAATTGCATGCAACAATAAAGTCTGAATATATATAAAAAGAAATATTTTTAAAAAACCCCAAAAAAGTATGTTTTTGTGGGGTCACTCTGCCAAAAGGCACAAAGATTATCAATTTTGCCCATATATAGTGATGATGTGCCTATATATGGTCATGATGTGATGTCATCATGACCATATTTAGGCATGTCACATGTTTTTGTCAAATAAAATTTGATAGTCTGGACATGGCTTCATGTGAATCCTGGGAATGATTTTTAAAAAAATATATATTTTGTTTGACAGTTTAGTAGACAAATTAGAGTAATTCACATTAATTAGTGTTGGTACCACTTGGTAGGCTTATGTCGTTTGTCCAAGGGTTTTTTTCTGTAACTTTTATAACACAATGTGAAGGCAACAGATGTAAAAAAATATAATTCAAATAAAAATGTTTTTTATAAGCTTACTCCCATTTTTTTTTTCAGGATTGTGATGAAAGCATGGAGTTGACTTCTGCAGTTCAACAGTTGCTTAATGCTGGTGAAGGCATCGTCTGTAAAGCCATATCCTCTTCCTTATAAATCATTAAATTTATTTTGTTGTATTGTTATTCCAGGAAATTTTAAAAACAAGGCAAGGCAAGGTAATTTATGCTGATGTCATCTCATTAGTACAGGTGGTTTTACACATGTGGTTTAGGTTCAATTAAGATGACACTCCCTATCAGGAACAACTTTATTTAATGAACCATAAATAATGAAACAGTAATAATAAAATGAAATAATCAATGTATTATAGCCTAAATGTAAACCAAAGTACTTTATAATATGAGGGTTGCTATTCCAACATCAGCGTACTGTCGCTAGTTTTTACCGAGAAATTGGCATCAGAATGTGTCAGTGATGTATACTTTAGTACAGTAATACGTATACTCATAACTTGGTTAGTTTGTCAATTTCAATGAATGACTTAATAACATTTTAATGCTTATGTGGTGAATATGAATATTAAAAAGTCAGTTTTCTTCAACAAACAGTTAAATTACATTTAGCTTTTCCCTGGTTTTGCTTGTTTTGGTCAACGATGCTTTTGCACGACCAGCTCCATATGTTTTGGATATGGTACCAATATTTATTTAGCATTAGTTGGTAATAGCTGCCTTGTTGGATCCTTAACGCATGAATACGCCTTAGATTCAATCCTTGTCCAGGAATCAACATGGGAGAGGAAACACACTGTCCTTGCTATCGTTAAATATATTTCAAACGAGGAAGATGCGTAAGTATTTCATTTTATTTATTTATTTAGGTACACATAGAATACACATGCTCCAGCAGTTGCTAATAGAGGATATATCACTGTCTTTACATACACACATGAGGGCATCACACAAACTAATTCTCGTTATAAACCTCATTGGGAAGTGCAGTTGTTTTGGTCATGAAAAAAAATAATAGATTTATGTACATACTACAGTACAGTAGTGCAAACAAATTTCTGTTTCAGATATAAAGTAGTAATTTAATACTGATATGTTGTTAATACTACTGTATCAATAAAGAATATCAATTTGATTACACTTCTGCTGTACAATTGTAATGAAATATGTAGTATATTTACATTTGTGTCCAACCGTCGTTGTTGGGGAATCACGGACATTAAACTGGGCAGTAAGTAAGTAAGTATTAAGTAAGTAAGTAAGTAAGTATTAAAATATAAAATGGCAGAGCATAACAAAAGAACAATAGTATTAAAACCTAATTTATTTTTAAAACGGGTCCCAAAAATTGTTGGGTTAGTAGAATAATATCCACATCAATAAATAATGTAATTAGTATAATATTAAAATTTAAATTTACACTGTTTAATATTTCCAATGTGGCCAAACAGTTCAACAATTTTTTTTTTATTCATTTCATAATAATACATACTATACATATAAATTTTTAAAGGCAATCCAACATATTGATTATAATCCTGTGTGAGAAATATCCTGAAATATAAAAAAAATGTTTGGATAAGATTATAGATTAACTCATACAGCTGATATAATGAGTGTCTCAACAATCTCGATGTCAGTAGAATAATAATCACACCAATAAAATAATGTAATTATGATAAGATTCAAATATGAATGTACACAAAGCATTCATAGAGTATGTACAGTAATCTAATGTAAACAGGTAATCAGAAATTGTGTTTATATTCCCATTGTGGTGCCCAACATATCCAGTGTAATCCTGCAACAGAAACATCCTAAAATATAAAGAAAAATGATTGGATAAGCTTATAAATGAAGCTCATACAACTGCTACTAACATGTTCTTCTTTGCATGAGTAGTTTTAATAATTAGTATTATTGGTTTATTGATCCATTTATAGTTTCTTCGTATTCACTCACAATGGAAATGTCAATAGTGGCTTGGACCTGAGGATATGCAACGCCATTCCCATCAAAGGACACTTTAAGTACAGTTACCATGTTGGTGAGTAGGAATTCATTTCTTTATTTTCTTCTTGATTTATAGGGTGAAAAAATTAGACTGTCCACAATAGGGGTTGTATGCAAGGGTAACCCCCTACTTGTTTTGAAAGATCACTGGGTTCTTCATAGTGCACATGAGCCAAATTGTGTACACTGGGCCTACAGTTTATAGTCCTTATCTGAGAAGAATTGTTTTGCCACCAGAACCATAGGCTAGCATGTCTTTTGTTTAAACCAGCGCTCATATTATGGCTGTAGTTTGCGCCACTTCCTCCCCCCACCCCACGAAAAGTACTTGATAAAATTATTTTTGTCATTTTGAGGTCATTTTGTTTTTTTAAATAAAAAAGAAAGTGAATACACTATTGACCTCAAGTTTTAGATTATGTCTTGCACTTTGTGAACATAATACACTAAATCACTCCAGTAAAATATGAACAGTATTATAATGTATAATGGCAACTATAAACATTCTTTGTATCCTTGGCCTTAGGATTTGATTAGAAGCATTAACCACCAATTTAATTCACAATTTATATTTTATAAATATTATTTTTATATTATATATTATTTATATATTATTATTATTGTTATTATATTATATATGTAATTATATTACATATATTATTTTTTATTATAATTTTGTATTTTTATTTTATTTATTTTTTTATTATTACTGTATTTATTATTTTTATTTCAGAAAGTAAAGAAGCTGGATCATACATACCAATGCAAATTAGTACAAATAATTTGCAACTGAATTTTGAAGTCATTTACAATCAAAGAACATCAGGCTTTGTTGCACAAATGAAGGAATCTACACTAAGTAAGTGCACAGTCTCCTTCTTAACTTAAGTAAATGGTGTACAGCCTTCTTAAGTAAGTGCACAGTCTACTTAAGTAAGTGTACAGTCTTCTTAAGTTAAGTAAGTGTACAGTGTTCTTAAGTTAAATAAGTGTACAGTGTTCTTAAGTTAAGTAAGTGTACAGTCTTCTTAAGTTAAGTAAGTGTACAGTCTTCATAAGTTGAGTAAGTGTACAGTCTTCATAAGTTAAGTAAGTGTACATTCTTCTTAAGTTAAGTAAGTGTACATTCTTCTTAAGTTAAGTAAGTTTACAGTATTCTTAAGTAAGTGTACAGTTTTCTTAAGTACTGTAAGTGTACAGTCTTAAGTAAGTGTGCAGTCTTCATAAGTTAAGTGAGTGTACAGTCTTAATAAGTTAAGTAAGTGTACAGTCTTCTTAAGTTAAGTA